CGCGGCGCCTTGCGCGGCCGCCCGCCGCCCGCGCTGCCGCCGCTGCTGGTCGGCGATGCGCCGCCCGAGGGCGTCGACGCCGCGGCCGCGGCGCCGTACGCGTAGGGGCAGCCGTTGGGCGCCGCGCGCTTGCAGGCCGCAGTCGGGCGCGGCGGCGCAGTGGCCGCGGCATAGGCCGCTTCCTTCACAGACGGGTCCTGCGCCTCGAGCCAGTCTGCAAACTCGGGGTCCTCCCCGTGCATCTTGCACTTGAGGGAGCAGTACACGCTGCCCTTGTCCATCATCGCGCGCCCGTCGACCGCGCACGTCGCGGGCGCGGCGGCGGTCGGCGCGGCCTTGCGGTCGGGCGCGGCCTCGCGGTTGAGGTACAGCACCTTGGAGCCGTTGAGGGTGTACTGCTGGATGCCGCTGGTGTCGCAGCCAAAGCGGAGGATGTCGGTGGCCTTGACCACATCCTTGAACGCGCTGCGCCGGACCTGGAGGTTGGGGTTGAGGGGCAAGGGCGGTTGTGTGTGTGGGGTGACGACGGGTGCCAGGCGGCCGGGGCCCGGAAGGGCCCGCGGCCCGGCGTGCGGCGCGGGCGTGCCCGGATTGGCCAGCGCGGGGGGCAGGGCCCTGGGCAGGGGCGCGGGGCCGGCTCCTGGGTGCGTGCGTCGCGGGCGGCGCACCTGCAGGAGCCAGGGGAGGCGGTCCTTGTGCTCTGGGCAGTGGCTGCAGAGAACCCGCATGGGGCACTGCGTGTCAAACAGCGTCAGCAGCTGCTCGCGCTTGGGCGTCCGGTTCGTGACGCAACAGCCGGGGCAGGGCGTGAAGTAGAGCGGGAACATGACCAGGCGGTAGAGCCACTCGCGGGCGTAGTGGCTCTGCCCACCGCTGGCCGCGCCACCAGCAGTGGCACCGCCGGCACAAGGCAGCGCCCCAGCTGCGCCGGTTGAGGCGACGGCTGCAGTGCCCGAGGAAATCCCCGAGGAGCTTGGAGTGAAGGCCAAGCCTACAGACAAGGTTGGTGGGGGATATGACGGGGGGTCAGGGACCCGGGCCATGATTTTTTCGGTCGCGTGCTGATCGATCCAGGCTGACCTCGCTGGAGAGCCTGCGCACAGCGGGCGCCGCTTACTGAAAGGTCAGCCAATCCAAACAATCGATTTAAGCGGCATCCAGAGGGTGCCGGTGGCCCAGGAGCGAGATTACGCCCGCTGAGGACGTGGCGCATAGCGGCGACCACAGCCGCGAGCAGGCACCCTCGGGTCGCGCGGAGCTCACCACAGCCATGATGAACCGTCTCCATGCCAGTCACAGGTACTTCCTGGTTCGGGCTTGTGCTGGGGAGTCTGTCGCTGGGCCGCTGCGCTGGCCTGGGCTGTGTCCGGTCCCACGGAGAGACGCAAGGACGTGATACGGCTTATGCACCACCAATGAGCGGGTGCACGGCGAGCTGCTGCCTGCAAATCGTCCTAGGAGAGCCCCTTGCCACCCGCAAAGAGATGCCCTGCCACCCAGAGCTGAAACACTTGTGTATGTAATTGGAAAGAGGAAGTGAACGAGCCTGCAGTATTGATGGGATGCGCAGTGACTATCGACCGCCGAGACTCTGGCCCGGCTCTGGATGTGAGCAGACGGTCACTTTCGTATCAGAAAGCATATATGTTTTCTCGCTGATCAAGGGGTCGGAGGAGGTGCGTGGCCGGGCGGGTGATCCAGTGCATCCTGCCTGGCACATGTGGCCACCGGCACAGACTGCTGCCACAGCAGCCAACCGGGTCCGGCGGCCTGATCGGTTTCAATTACGTGTTGCAAGGCAGTGCTTCAAGCATCCTGGACATGGCCGTTGGGGCGGATGTGCAGCACAGCAGCAATGGCGGCTGGGATTTGCACGATGTTGTGGCCACAACCCAGATCTTCTCTCCGTACGCGCCGCCCAGTCACTGGGCCCGCCCCGCACCTGCCTCGTGTCGTCTGTAGGCGCAAAGTTCGGGCCGCCACACCACATGCGCACAAACAAACCGCCGTAAAGCAACCGGCAGCTGGAGGCTGCGCCGGCGCGGGGCAGGCACGAGACCCAGGGCCTGCGAGCGCACCCCAGGATATGTCCCCAGCCAGGTGCAACCCGTCCTGCTGCCCCACACACTGGATAGCGCGCCGTGCAGCTGAGGTCTCCAACGAAATCTAGGGCGACGTGCGTCGTACTTAAGAGCCCCGTCACCACATTACATGCTGGCAAGCACCGAGGCAGCCGCCTGTGCCCCAAGTGTACGTCTGACGGAGCTGCAGAGCCCCAACCCGGTCAATTGCAGGCTGCAGCGGCACCCCCAGGACCGCTGTCTGCAAGGTACTGTAGGATGGAGGTCTGGAAGTCTGGAAGTCTGATATCGATGAATTGATGCATGAGGGCTGCAGCGGAGCAAGCAAACCAGTGCAGCCCGCTGGCATGGGGCTTCTGTGTTCAAACAAACGATAGCCCCAACAATGCAGCTCTGCTGTGGTGCTGCGCATGCATGAGGGTGGTGCCCTGCCGCCGCTGCCGCCACTGCTGCCGCCGCTGCTGCTGCTGCTGCTGCTGCTGCTGCTGCTACTGCTGCTGCTGCTGCTGCTGCAGCTGCATTCCCTCAAGCTTGCTGCTTTCCTTCACCTGGCGCCTGGAGCGGCAGGCGGATCCGCTATGAGCGCCGTGCACAGGGTGCCCGGATCTGGTGTTACATGGAGAACAACACCAGCAGCAGTGCAAGTAAACACAACAAGGGGCCGTGGTGTTGAGGAATGTGTGGGAATTAGCCTCACCACTTAGTACAGCAGAAGCGACCCTGACAAATGCAGGGCTGCTGTGGTCAAGGGGTCAAGGCAGAGGCGCCTGGGACGGAAATGCGGAGGAGGCAACAAAACAGCACGCGGCAGGAGGCCAGCTGCGCTGGACCACCTGGACCGCCCGCCACCACCAACAGAAAGGAAGGAGCCCCGCGCGGCGCAGCGAGCGCAGCCGCCGCTCACCGGCCCGACCCCGACACAAAGTCCATCCGCCGCCCGCCGCCGCCGCCGCCGCCGTCCCCGCCGCCGCCCGCGCCCGCCGCCATGCCGCCGCGCTTGCCGATGCCGTCGAGCGCGTTGCCGCGCTTGCTGCCGCCGCCCTTCCCCACCTCCGTTAAGAACTGGTCCAGCCCAAACGGGTCCGCCTCCGCCGCCGGCGCGGCCTCGTATTCTACCGCGCCGCCCCGCGCCCGCCCGCCGCCGCCCGCCGCGGCTGCCGCACCGCCGTCCGCGCCCTGGAAGCCCTTATCCGCCTTGAACCGCTCGGTGCCCCGCGCGCCTGCGCCGCCGTCGTCGCCGTCCTCGTCGGGCGCCGCCTGGCTGGGCTTGAACAGGTTGGCGTTTCCGCGGTCTGCAAACAGCGGCTTGTCGTAGACGCCATACCCGTCCTCCGCCCCAAAGCCCGCCGCGACGCCCTGCTCTTGGTTGAACAGCCGCGCGTCGTACTGCACCTCCCCCGGCCCGCCGGCGACCTTTGCCATCCCCAGCGCGACGCGCTCTCCGATGTCGCGCTCCCTGTCGCGCGTGAGCTTCGACTTTTTGGCGGGCCCGTGCCCGTCGCGCGACTCGAGCCGCCGCTCGCGCTCGCGCTCGCGCCGCCGCTCCTCCCGCAGCTCGTCGCGC